CAGAATGGCATAGTGCAAGTGTCAAAAACATTGATAGGAAGCCCTTCATTATTCTAGCCATAAGAATCAGGGAAAGGAGCCCAGACAACAAACATCACTGAGAACTGAGAGAGAAATTCTGGAGGGAATAGACCCAGAGAAGATAATCCCCAAATTCTTCTAAACCCCATATATCTCCGACTGACCTTTGATTCATGTATATGCAAGACAAACTCAAAGTAGCACAGCAAAGGCTTAAAGAGCTGAACTGAACCACCAACCTCAGAGTAAGACAGGTCTTACAGTGAGTTTAACTGACTGGTGAAATGCCTGCTAAATGGGAAACAACAACATTCTTCAGAAAGGATATGACAGAACCTAGACTCTACATGACAAAACATTCACAATGTCCAGGATATAGTCCAAAAATACTTGGCATGAAAAGACTTGGGAAAATTGACTCATTCTCAGAGGTAAAGATAATAAACAGATCCCAGTCCAGAAATTACTCAGGTGTTGAGATTATTAGAAAAGGACTTAAATTAAAGCAACTCTCATAACTATGCCCAATCAAGTAAAGGAAAATATGCTAGAGATTAATAAAAAGAAAAAGAAAATTGAACAGATCCCATTCTAGAAATGACTCAGATGTTGAGATTATTAGAAAAGGACATTAAAGCAACCATTATAACTATGGTCAATGAAGTAAAGGAAAATATGCTAGAGATTAATAAAAAGAAAATCTTGGCAGAGAAATTAAAAAAATAAAAATAGAAATTTTATACCTGAAAATATATTTTCAAAAAAATTGATTAGGAAAATGGAGATATCAGAGAAAAGAGTAACTGAGTTTAAAGATAAATGCACAGAAATTATCCATTATAACAAAAGAGAAAAAAGAAAGCCTGAGATACCTGTAAGGATAATACCAAAAAGCACTAACATTCAGATAATTAGTATCCCAAGGAAAAAGGAGAATGATTGCTCCACTGCACTCTAACATCCTGAGTGACAAAGAGAGAAGCTGTCTCAAAAAATAAAAAATAATTATGTTTGAGAACTTCCTAAATTTGAAGAAAGACAAATTTATAAATTCAAGAAGCTCAGTGAAACTCAACCAGAATAAATGTAAAGAAAATCATATGTAAAGTGATAAAAAACAAATTCAAAGATAAAATTCAAAAGCAGACAGAGAGAAACAACACGCTATTGACAGGAAAACAATAATTCAAAGACCATGGACTTCTCATCAGACACCCCTAAGAACAGAAGACAGGGAAACAGGATTTGTAACATGCTAAAAGATTTTTTTTAACTGTCAACCCAGAGCAGGTGCAGTGGCTCATGCCTGTAATCCCAGCACTTTGGGAGGCCCAGGCAGGCAGATCTCTTGAGGTCAGGAGGTTGAGACAAGCCTGGCCAACATGGTGAAACTCCGTCTCTACTAAAAATACAAATATTAGCTGGGCACAGTGCTGGGCACCTGTAATCCCAGTTGCTTGGGAGGCTGAAGCAAGAACACCTCTTGAACCCAGGAGGCAAAGGCTGCAGTGAGCCAAGATTGTGCCACTGTACTCCAGCCAGGGCAACACAGCAAGACTCTGTCTCAATAAATAAATAAATAAATTGATTAATTTAAATTGTCAACCAAGTATTCTATATCTAGCATGCATATTCTTTTTTAAAAGGTAAACAAAATAAAGACATATTCAGATAAAACAAAAAATCTAAGAGAATTACTCACCAGCCAATAGAAATCACAAGAAATGCTAAAGAATGGTCTTCAGGCAGAAGAGAAATGATACCAGAAGGAAATTTAAATCTTTAAAAATGAATGAAGATGAGAAATGTGTCAAATGTCTGAGTAAGTACATGAAGCTATTTTTTTTCTCTTAAGTTTAAAAATAATGTATAAAAAGTATAATATTGTGTTGTGGAATGTTTATGTAAGTAGGTGCAGTACATATGACAAGAACCAAAAAGACTGGGATAGGCGTGGGCAAAAGAACTATATGGTTGTACAGTTTCTGCATTTTATGTGAACTAGTTCAATATTAACTCTAAGTAGACTTTGAAATGTTAAGGATGTGTATTGTAATTACTAGAGAAACTATTTTTAAAGTAATGCAAAGAAGTGCAACTAAAAAGCCAACAGGTAAGTAAATTGAAAACAAAAGATATTATTAAATCATAGAATATATTTTAGACTGAATAATAATGAAAACACAACATATCAGAATGTGTGGGGTGTAGCTGAAGCAGTGTTTAGAAGGAAACTTATACCCTATATGATGAAATCGAAAAGAAGAAAGGTCTAAAATCAATAACCTAAAGTTCCACATTAAGAATCTAGGAAAAGAAGAATAGCGTATACTCAAAGTAATGGAACGAAATAATAAATATAAGGATATAAATCAATCACATGGAAAACAGAAAAAGAATTGAGAAAATTAACTAAGAGTTGGTTCTTCTAAAATGTCAGCAAAATTTAAAAACCCATCTGACTAGACTGTTTAAGAGAACAAAAATCACCAATATCAGGAATGAAAGAGAGGATTTCACTACAGAACCTAAAGATACTAAAGGACAATTTTAAAAATGTGATAAACAACACTACACCAACAACATTTACCAATTTAGACGAAATGGGCAATTCTGAAAATTACAACTTAACAAAATTAACACAAGAAACAGGAAATCTGAATAGCTCTATATTTTTAAAAAATTTTATCTGTTATCAAAAAATCTTACCACAAGGACAATTCCAGCCCTGGATGGTTCTCTCAAATATTCAAGAAAGAAATAACACCCATCTTACATACATTTATTTCAGCAAATAGAGGAGGAAGGAAAATTTATTTTATGATACCTGCATAACCATAATACTAAACCTGACAAAGGCTTTTTTGAAAGAAAGAACATTACATACTAATATTCCTTATGAGCATATATGCAAAAATCATTAACAAAATATTAGCAAATCAAATCCAAAAACATATTTTTGAAAAGGATAATACATTTTGACCAAATAGATTTATCCAAGGGTTGAAAAATTGATTTAAGTATCTTGATTTATTGTATTTATTTGAAAATCAATATAATTCACCATATTAACAGAGTACATGAAAACAATATGATTATTTTGGTAGTGAAAAAAATATTTGAAATAATTCAACAACCATTCAGGATAAAAATAAATTAGTAGCTTTAGGCAAACTATGAATCACAGGGAATGTCCTCAATCTAATTAAGAAAATCTACAAAAACTTTACAGCTAACATTATACTTATGCTTTCCTCCTAAAGTTGGAAACAAGGAAAAAATATCTCACTCTTTTCATGCATATCCAACATCATACTGAAGGTCTTAGTCATTGCAATATGGCAAGATAAAGAAATAAAAGTAATAAAGATTGAAAAGGAAAAGGTTAAAGTGCCCCTATTTGCAGATGACACAATTTTTAGGGTAAAAATCCTGAGAAATCTACAAAAATCTATATGTCCTAATGAGTGAAAATATAAAGGTTGCACAATACACAGTTAGCAACATACAAAATCAGTTCCATGTTTACATAGTAGCAGCAAACAACTGGAAAATATTTTTTAAATTCCACTTACACTAGTGCCTCCACAAAACATAACATTTAGGAATTAATGTAACAAAAAATGTCCAAAATCTCTACACTGAAAATTACAAAACATTATTTACAGAAATTAAAGATCTACATAAATGAAGACATACCAGGTCCATAGATTGGAAGACTCAATATTCTTAAAATCACAATTCTCCCAAATAGATCTATAAAGTCAATGCAATCCCAATAAAAAATACAGCAGGTTTTTAAATAGAAATTACTAGCTGAATCTAAAATGTATACATAAATTCAAATGACTTAAAATCACCAATGTGATTTTTAAAAAGAAAAGGGTGGAGGACTTACACTATCCAATTTCAAAACCTACTACAGTAAGCTACAGTAATCAAGGAAAAGGTCATGGCAAATCATAATGCCAAGTAAGGAAGCCAGACACAAATGGGCATATACTGTATGCTTTCTTGCATATAAAATTCTAGAAAATACAACCTATTCTATAGTGTCACACAGCAGATATGTGACTGGTTGCAGGGTGTGGGCTAAAAGCAGGGATGAAGAGCAAAGAGGGCAGAAGAATGAAAAGGTTCAGTTATATTGATTGCAGGAAATGTTTCAAAGGTGTATGCATCTGTCAAAACTCATCAAATTGTATGCCTGTACCTTGTATATTGTACAATTGTTCATTTGTGCAGTTTACTGGATATAAATTATGCCTCTATAAAGTTGTAGATACGAAAAAAGCAATTTGTTCAACTTTGAGATTTGCATGTTAAAAACAAAAAAAAAACAAAAAAAAATTATTGATCTCCTTTAAATTTCTGCAACAGTAGTTTGCAATAGTTCCATTGTGGATCTGTGGGCTTCAATGCCAACAATCCTGGCATTAAGCCCACAGTGTCTCACCGTCCATCAAGGAGTTAGAGCCAGGCTCAGGCAACTGCTCTCTATTCTGAAACTGCACACATTGACCCTAGTGAGAGCAGTCACCTAATGGTGGCTAAGGTTTACTCAAAACAAGCTGCCCTGTAAAGGAACAGCAGAGGTCAGGTAGATGGAAATTAAAGTACCTCCACTGTGACCTTTCACCTCCCGAAGTCTCTTTGAATCCCCCTCTTTCTCCTTCCTAGCCTCTTTTTCTCCTGTCCCCACAGCCCGGTCTGGCGTCGTACACCTACCTCTCCCTTGCACCAGGTTCTCAATCCTCCCAGCTCCTCTTCAACCCGTGCTCATTCTCCCACGAAAGGCAGCCCAAACTCCAGCCCCAGTGCCCCAGCCCCTTCCACCCTGATTTCTGCCGGGGTGAACCTGCCTCAACGAATTAGCCACGCGAAACAGAGTGGACAACCACTCCGCCCAAACAACGCACCTCTCCTTCGCAAAGCGCCCGCACGAAGTCACCGCGCCCCAGGCCGCGTCCTCCTCTCACCCGGCCTCGATGGCGCCTCCGCTCCCATTCAGGTGGCAGTGAGATTGGCCCCGCCGCTCGGCCAGTGTGCAACAGGCCCTTCCGGTGCCGAGGGGCCGGGTGGGCTCGGCTGGCTGGGTGGGCTCGACTGGCTCCACGGAAGAAAGGACGCGTTCCGTCGCCCAGCAACTAGCCGCGCGCCCTCCCCGGCCCCGCCTCTCCCTCGCCTCAGCCCTGTAGGAGCCTCCAGCACCGTGGCGCCTGCCTCAAGTGCACCCGCCTTGCGGGACCCGCTCCAGGGCAACCTCGGACTTGGACCCCAAACCCAGGCCTCACTTCTCCGGGCGCTAAAAGACACTGCTCCGGAAGAGCCTCCTGGACTGAAGCCGCCTGGATTGGCAGCTTTTACGGAACTTAACCAACTGCTTACTTAACACTCTTGCTCTTTCTACGTTTAAAAGAATAATACTGGACCCCGAGACTTAAACCTTCAGCTTTGGGGAGCAACACAGATGAATGTCTCACAAACATAATGTTGAGCGAAGAAGCCGGACACCGAGGGGTACATACTGTATGATTTCATCACACAAAGTTCAAAAACTGTGGTGCTTATGAACATAGGCTCAGCTGGTATATTACAAATAAACAGAAGAAAGTAATAACCATAGAAGTCCAGAGAGTAGCCATCTTGGGAGTGGGACGGTGATGGTGAGTGGGCAGGCAGTACCAGGGCAGTCGGGATGCTAGCAACATTCTACTTGTAACCTTGTTGATGGCTTTCAGATTTTCTCTTTGTGATAAACCATTGTTTTCTATTGTGTTCATTTTCTTGTGTAATATCTCACCATTTTTTAACAGCTCAAAAAGAAAAAGAAAAACCAATTAGATAATATAGTGTAGATGAATGTGCTTTGCTCAGTACACTTAGCAGAACCGCACGTTTATTTTCTGTTCCTCTATACCAACCCTTCTCTCCAAATTCAGGCAACTAAAAAATGATGTGGGAGAATGGCAGATAAAATGTACTGGAGCTTGTTGTCATGAATAGTCAAAATAAGAAATAAACGTTCTAGAGATCCTCCGTAAGATCTGTCCTGGAAGAGGGCAACGTGTTTTCCAGAAGTCCAAGATGAAAGTCTTGTGCTGCACAGTTCCCTAGAGAGGGGCCTCTGAACAGCCTTGCTTTGGAGACTGATGCATCCTCAGGCCTCCAGAAGGAAGCTCCTGCTCTAGAGACAGACAAAGCCAGGGTGGGACACACAGCTTTACCATGTGGGCCAGTTGCTTTTCCTCTCTGGGTTTCTGCATGTTTGTCTATAAAATGGAGATCATAATCCAACCTCTAAGGTCTGTTATTTCACTCCCTAACACAATACGTTCAAAAATGGTTGCGGAATGCTGTCAAGATGAGAAGCATTCTACAGAAGAAGATCTGCCAACCCTGCGATGTTACTGCATTTACATGGCATCTCACTGCCCTGTGAGCACTCTGCATGGGCAGCCCCTTCAGGCCAGGAGTAAATTACTTTTCCCTCCTAATCAAAATAATAAGCAAGCAGCCAAAGTGCTTGTGAAGTGACTAATTGTTCATGGTACTATCGCGAAAGATGCACAAAAATAATATACATGCCATGTTCCTAAACTGAAAAAATATTCAAATTAATATAACCTTGAAATATGTCTATCATATAGTCAGGAAACAATTTAAATGACAAATAAATATTGTTCATTAATACTTTATGTAATCAAAAAACAGTAACTAAGGACACAGGTATCCATGTCATAGGATAATACAATCCATGAGCTAGGTAGTATTATCATCTTCATTGTACAGATAAGAGATTATACAAAGAGATTAAGGAATTCACCTGAGGTCCCCTACCTAGTAATCCTGTGCTAGGAATCTCTGTTCTAGGTCTAGTTGATTGATTGATTGATTGAGACAGGGTCTCACTCTGTCACCCAGGCTGGTGGGCAGTGGGGCAAACACGGCTCACTGCCGCCTTCCCAGGCTCAAGCAATCCTCCTGCCTCAGTCTCCCAAGTAGCTGGAACTACAGGAGTGTACCAGGATGCCCAGCTAATTTTATATATATTAGAGACAGGGGTCTCTACGCTGCCCAGACCTGAGCTTTTGGGCTCAAGGAATCCTCTCACCTCTGCCTCCCAAAGTGCCTGGTGTTACAGGCAGGAGCCACTGTGCCTGGCAGATCTAGTTTCATTTTAAAAAGGTGAGAGAGGGAAACAGAAGAAGTGGGAGGAGGAGGAGTTAGTTATTGAGTTAAAGGTATTTCAAACTTGTTGATGTTGTAATGACTTCATATGGAAATGTTAACACTTCTAGTACCATCTTAAAGAGAGGGCAATTAGACTCAAAAGAGCAGCATAAAATCATTCAATAGTCATTGAAACACTATGATTTCCTCTAGCTTTTGCCACTTTCCAACCACCACCTACCAGTCCCCTTGCCACCCAGCTTTGAAACCCCCTGTAGTTCACTACAGCATGAATGAAAGTACGGCCAGTGTGACTTTCCAGCTCCCACACCTTTGATGTATCACCACAGAACAAAGTCCAAACACAGTTCTCCAAAGAGAATTTGAGTCTCCTCACAATTAGGGCCCACCTAAAGGTTTATATACTTGGGAAATAAATACTAAAATCATGTCTTTACTTCATATTGTGCACAAAATAAGTTCCAACTGGATGAAAGATTTTGGTTTTGTGCAGATAAGGCTTGTAAGCACTGGTGGCTCACACCTGTAATTCTAGCACTTTGGAAGGCCAAGGCCAGTAAAATCACTTGAGACCAGGAGTTCAAGACCAGCCTGTGCAACATGGTGAAACCCTGTCTCACCTGGCAAAAAAATTAGCCAGGTATGGTGGCATGAACCTATATAGTCTCATTTACTTGGGAGGCTGGGGTAGGAGGATTGCTTAGGCCCAGGAAGTCGAGGCTGCAGTGAGCCAGGATCTTATCACTGGACTCCACTCTCGGTGCCACAGCAAGATCCTGTCTCAAACAACAACAACAACAACAAAAACTTGTAAGCACTAAACCATAAAAGGCAGAAACTATAAATAAAAATACCAATTTTTGAAACACCTGCATTATGCATTAAAAAATAAAATTAAAATGCAAATAAAAACCTGGTAAAAATGTTACTACACTTATAGCAGACATGGGACCAGTATTCTGTGGATGCGAAGTAGCCACTCCAAATTTTCAATTGGCTAATGAAGGTGTGAATGGCAGTTCCCAAAAGAAGAAATATTATGGCCAATAGAAATATAAGAATATTCAACTCAACCAATCTCATAAATACAAATTAAAACAATGTTTTGCAGTTTTCATCAATCAAATTACAAAGTTAGTAATAGAGTGTGTGCATGGGAATGAGGAAACAGCATTACTCACAGATTTCTGAGGGCATCCTGCTAGATGTCATATAGCAAAATGTCTCAAAAGGCTTAAATATACCATTCTGAGCAACATAACAAGACTCCACCTCCACAAGAAAATTTTAATAATTAGCTGGGCATGGTGGCACACACCTGTAGTCCTAGCTACTTTGGGGCTGAGGTGGGAGGATTGTTGGAGCCCAGGAGTCCAAGGCTGCAGTGAGCTATGATTGCACCAATGAACTCCAGCCTGGGAAACAGAGCAGGACCCTGTCTCAAAAAAAGAAAAAGAAAAAAGAAGACTAAATACTTGCATGTATTTTAACCCAGAAATTCCACTTTTATGAACTTTTCCTACATAGAAGTATGCAAAATTTTCAAATAATAATATTGGAACATTGTTTTACTCTTTGGAAGGCAGAATCTTGTCTTCAGTTTAGTATCTTTAGTATCTAGCACAATGTTGGCACATAGAATTCTCATTGATGGTCACACCTAAATAATGTCACTGGTTTAGCACTAGTCAAGACTGAGTTGTTGCCAGACACAGACCTGTAAAGGACTGAGCTCTAGACTTAATATTCTAGAGATGAGGAGCCAAAGATGCTGAGGCCTTGGGAAAGACACAAGGACATTTCCCATGAGCCCCTAGGTCACTGGACCTAGTTTAGCATCTGCTTCTATTAACACAACTCATCACTAGCAAAAGTCTCAGTCCTTGATTTATAGCAAAGCTCAGTTCACTGAAGGCCAAAAAAACTTGATACTATCAATATTTTATTTTAGCATCAGTTACTTTAACGATTATGTCAAATGCAAATCAGCAAATTAAAATGGCAAATGTAATGCAAATAAACTCAGAGTGTGCTTTCCTGCTAGACCCATAGGCAGGCTTTCCTGTAGAAATCAGCCACCACAGAAATCCTGGAGCCTTCATGGCTGTACTCCAAGATGGTGACACGGAAGGAGTAGAGCCTTTTGATGAGTTACAGGATGAGGATGAACTGGAAAGAACTGAAGACACCATACCTCACTTCCACGAATCCTTGTTCCTCTCCTCATCAGTCAAGGCCCCAAGGAAAACAGATGGTACACTCGAAAGGGTTTTCCTGGGGGAAAAAATTTGAAGGTGGGATTAAAGGGAATTAACAAGAGAAAATGAGTCACTCAAGGTCTAGCAATATTAGGAAGGTATTAATACTTTTGATCTGAAGGGGCAAGGGGGGAAAAGGAGGTGTTAACAGAGCCTGGTGAGAGCTGAAGCTGTGGAAGATGAGCTGCTGATGGGACTGTAGAGACAGAGACGGGAAGTAAAGGTCAAAACCACAGTGAGGCAGGGAGAAAGCAGGAGGCCTAAGTACTCCTACCACTCTACCCTCCTGCCCTTCAGTCCTGCACCATTGTCCTCCATTGGTCAAACCCATTTGTAAGTCCAAAGGCAAGGAAGACTAAGTAATGTGGTCCATAGAGAACTAGGCAAAGCGGGGAGCTGGAGAGTATAACAGAGAATAACCAGCAGAATCCCCTACCAAAAGTTGCCTGTACTGCCATTGATCCACAGAAATGAACATATTGAGACAGCTTCCATTGCCTTAGGGTCTTCTCTGGCATTGATTACCTCCAGCCTTCTTCAAGCACCTACTCACCCCACCTTCCCCATGGTAACCTAATTAACATCTGCTAGGCTTCCCTCCAGATCCCAAACTTCAACGGGGTTCTAACATCTAAGCTTATGGAGTTCAGGAATGGACCCCTGGGAAGTCAGCTACCACTCTTCTTTGGAGCACCTTGGAAGTCTGTCACTGGGGAATGACCTCGGGATTCTTAAGGCAGGATAAAAATAGCAAGCACTGAGCAGAAAGGAAAAAAAAGAAAAAAAAAAAAAAAACCTGTGAATAAAACTATCCATTTGAAAAAGAAAAGATACAAATAACAGCAATGAGCCTGGTCCAAAGCAGGTGTACTTGGCCAGGAATTAAGGATTTATTTTTCTTGGAGGTAGTGGCTGATGTTTAGCATTCCATTTACACGTTACATCTCCAAAGGGCTTTGCTTAGATGTTCTCCAGCTATGGTAATACACTAGAGATTTTGCTGAGTTTTAGGTCAGAGCCATTCCTTTTCTGAAGGTAAATATGTAAGACTGTTGTATGTGCTTTGTAGCCTAAACATTGAACTTAGAGAACCAATGCCTGGTTTACGCTTAGAAAAACTAACAGCTCTCCCAAGTAAGCTGTAAAAACAGAAGCTGCATTTAGCCAGAGATCACGGCCTGAGAATTCTGTGTATGATCCCACTTCCCCCATACTCACTCACCCACATACCAATCCAAGAAAAATTAATAAGCTTTGAAGATGTGTTGTTTTTCTGTTTTCCAGTGAAGGAAATATTTTATTTTATTCACCTGGATTCTGATTACTGAGTGAAGCAGAATTCAGAAACCTACTGAAGCTGGTATGCAGGACCCTCTTAGCCCATCCAAACTCTGTCTAAAATTTGTGGGACGTTTCTCATGAAAGAGTCCTGGATCCACAACTGAACTGCAGCCCTTCCAAACTTCATCAGTAGGAGGGTTTAATCAATTTCTGGTAAGCAGACATACCTATATCTGAGCAGACAAATCACTGAAACCCCTCTGTGATTTGGTCTTTTCACAGACTATATTGTCTGTCTTAATTAAACTTTAGCATCCCACTAAGCTTTCTTGCACATGCAAGTTAACATTTAAGTCTTTAATATTTGAAGCATACACCGTAAGCCCAGCATGCTCACTTCATTTCAGATGGACTTCAACTCCCAGAAAAAAAGTTTTAGGGAATTTAAATCAAATAATTTTTGAAGACAGCAACTAAAGCTTCCTTGATGTAATGATGTCTTGAGTTTTCAGGATTTTAGAAAATGTCTAAGTATACTTCTCTAAATGAGTTATAAGTGGTCCTAACTGTCCATGAGAGGGGCAGAGGAGGAAGGAGAAAGTGTCTAAGTGAAATCAAGAGTCTTGCTTTCTCATCTCAGTTCTCCCCAAGTTCAGGTGCTGAGGATGGATTGGCCTCTCAGAAGCCCAGACTTCATTTTCTTCCTTTTCCTCATCTCCCCTCTCCTTCCTGGGTGCCTCCTAGATCCAAACCACAACCCGTGTTTGCCTGAGGTACACATAGCCAGGGTGATGATCGGGGTCTCTGAGAGAGGCATGCCCAGACACCCAATGCCTACAAGTCCAGCTAGTAAATTCAGGCAGGCTCCGACGATACTCTCAGGAGCCCAGGAAAGGCACAGGCAGACTCTTGGGGAGGCGTCTTCCCTCTCTCGCCTAGGGGGAGGAACGGACAATGTGTTCTGCTACCCCAGTTGGGTTCAGCAGGACCTAAAGGGTAAGAGGTTCAAGACTTCTCATCTCCTCTCCCCTTGAACCACCTTCCCCCAGAAGGTCCTTAATGTGAGCTTGATGCTGTCTCTGGATCTCCTTCGGATGGTGCTTTTCCTTTGTCATCCATCACTGACTGAGTGAAGAGTGGCTCCGCCAGTCAAGGAAATTAGGAAATTCCCAGCAGGGTCCTGGTGGACACTGAGACTCTGCCCCCCGGCGGTCCAGTTCCCATGGGAGAGCTCCCTCCTCCTCCTAGACTGTAGCTTGGAGGAACTGCGACAATCCAGAGAAGGAATGGTGACAACATACAAAAGATCTAGAAGGCGAAGCACAGGAGGCACACCTGGTCAGCAGCACCTGCCACTACATGTCCCAGCATCCAGCACCACCCAGGCTCCCAGAATTCTGTGAAGGCTCTTTTTGTTACCACTTATTGCATACTCAATCTACACTCAACTGGTATGAGGTGGGTACTCCCACGCCCATTTTACAGTTGGGAAAACTGAGGCTCAGGGAGAGCTAGTCCCCTGCAGTATCTGGATTGGAATCTAGGTCTGATTCCAAGCTGGAATTGCATTGAACATGTCCAACTGCACTGTCGATGGCAAGGAATACGCCCCAATGGAGTTTGTCTAATGAGAAAAAGCCTCAGAGATCTTCAACCTCAGAAACGAGTGGCCTGAGCCTGCCAGCCCTAGGGAGAGGAGTGTGCAGAGTGCTGAGCTTTCGCCTCCCTGAGGAGGCTTTGCCTGGGCTTGGAAATTGGGAGGACAGGTTGGTCTCTCTCTTCTGCTGCTGCTGTCTTTGGAGACGACAGGCAGTGAAAAAGAGGAAAGCTTTTGCCCTAAATTTACCATAAAACATACACCACAAACCTGGATATTCAGCAAAAAGGAAGGAAATGTTTGCGGTATCAATTATCCCAGAGCCTTCCTCCCCTGCGGGAAAGTCGCTTCACCACTTCTGGAGCTGAGCCACCCACCACCACAATCACCATAGCGGTTTCCTTCTTAGGTTCACACAGGTTCCTCATTTCTCTGGGTGAGGTCTTCAGGGCTGACTCTCATGTCAGCCACTACTCCAGACTTTGTTCCTACAACTGACGATTGCCAGAACCCGGCATTGGGTCCAAGCTCCTCACTTGGGAAAAGAGGAAACGGCAGCATAGAGGGCCTGGCTGGGTTCCGTAACATATTAGAAGTTGGCAGCACTGCTGCCAATGTCAGAACCATGCTGCCCCACCCTAATCTTAACACCGGGTCCGCATCTCCACACAGCTTCTGTAGTCTTCACTTCCTCTCTCTCTCTGTCATCTCTTGGGATGGTGGTTTATTCCCATCCAGCACCTGCAGGAATTTGTGAAGCTCCTGCTCCAGTGTAAACTGACCTTTAACCCCAGCACCGGGATTTATTTATTGAAACCACTTTTCTTGGCCGGGGTGTAGGGGGAGGGTCATGAGGAGGTCAGTGGAGACCAGCAATTCACAATGGAAGGTATTTTGGAGGGAGGCGGCCAGTGGCGCGAGAAGAGTGGGATCCACGCCACCAGCTGCATCCTCGAAAGCATTTGAAAGAAAACAAATCTACACCAGATCTGCTAAAACTCGAAACCTGAGTCTCTAAGGTGGGTGAGGCTTGATCCAAGTTCCGACCACCTCTCCCTGACCGAGGTGACAGAGGTCTGGGTAAGCTGTAGCTTGGAGAAGAGGACCTGAAAGCAGGAAGGTTGGGGTGCAGATCCTCCGCCGCATCGGAGCCACGGCTGAACCCCACATCCACCCAGTGGGAGAGTGGGGGTGGGAGGAACATCGAGGACACCAGATGCGTCCGGAGGACCGCACAGCCTTGTGGCTTCTCGAGTGATAGCAGCCCAGAAGAGGAGGCAGGCATGTTTACTCTTGTAAGGTCTCTCCCAACTCCTGCATTTTATTTCGGGGCAATTAAAATTTAAGGATGAAAAAATGACAGAAGGGGTCTCCAGTTATTACATTTCCACAACACTGCAGATTCTGAGATTGGTGATCCTTTAAGGAAATCGTTACATTACACATGGAAAGTGTGTAGAATAAAATACTTTGTATCTTAGGTAGAATAAAACACTCTATATTTTATGATACAAGACAGAGAGGCAATTAAGGTCAATGCCTGGTAGTTTCAAGTGCGCTGTCTCCGCTGCGGCCAGCTAAGAGGCAGGCACCGAGGAAGATCACCTCTGTGACGCTCGATGCGAAACCCCGCCCCGCAGGCGAGCAGAGCCCCAGGCGCCCCCCACAGCAGGGGCCGGAACGAACACTCAGCGCGCTCTAAGCTGGGCGCGCAGGCTCGGACTAATAAAGAGCTCTAGTGCAAGGCTTTTCCTTCTCACAACATGGGCTCGGCTTTATTTGTTTGCCAATTTAAACATATTATTTAAACACCAATGTTTCCTTTCCAGCTCCTGGTGAAAAGTGTTGCCTGACGGAAAATTCATGGGGTTCTTCAACTTCTAGTCAGTATCTGCTATTGACAGGTGTGGCTGTTGCATTTTCACAGCGAGGAAAAGTGAAATATTTGACTTTGGGTCACACGATGACTGTCCTATATGGGCAAAGCGAGCAACTGATTCCGCCCATGTCCAGGTGCCCAGGAAAGGGAGCATTTATTTGTTATGCCACCCGATAATACTGGTTAAAATGAGGCGTGGTTGACAGGGGAAGAGCCAGACCCAACGGGTTTGGAAGCTCAATGTTCTCAGATGTCATGTCTGAGACCCTGTCGGCTGTGCCAGAGCATCTTTCCCATCCAATTCTTCACTCAGTCCATCGGCCCATTCATTCCACAAAACCTTTGTTTTCCTAGTGCACCTGAATCAAGTCCCTCAGATCCTCTCACTTGGGGACTTTGGATGTGGTGATATGGTGTCTAGACTCATGAATTCTTCCCTGACTGAAGCTAACCTGGCCAGTCTCAGGGATGGGCTAGTCAGTTGACTGACTCAACAAATCTTCATTGAAAGTCTACTATGCTACAGGCTTTGCTCTGGCAGCAGGAACCACAGCAGTGCCTGCCCTCAAGGAGCTACTAGACCAGTAAGGGAGAGAAAAAATGAAAAAGAAACAAATAGAATTTGCTGTCGGTGTGTGATAAAAACATAGCAAGTCATCCAGAGCAAGGTGTGAACCTTAGGAGGGCAGGGCTCAGTTGTTTGTGAAAGGCTGAAACGTTTTAACAGGAACTCCAGGAGATTGTTCTGGACTTCCACCACAGGTAGTGTCCAGTGGTAGCTGCTGCATTTGTTTAGTTTGATCCATGATTCTGGTAGGCATCCAAAATTACAACATTCAGAAAGTAATCAGAGTTCCTGAAAATCTTGCTAGTAACCCAGCAAAAGCAAATGCTGCCAAGGAGGCTGCTTCATAGCGCTTAGTTTAGAAGCAAACTCACTGCAAGGTAAGCTAAGCAGTAGTTTTGCTCTGTGGTCCACAGAAAAACAAAAATCAAAACACTTCACGCAAATGCACAACTCTTAAAACAAAACTTTCCTCTGATGTTAGCTCTTGGAACAGCTGCTGGAAGTCCCAGAAACAGCTACCCAACAGTGCTCTCCAATCGAATTTTAATTTTAAGTAATGAAGGTAACCTCCCTCTAGGCATGCCAGTAAATTAGTCAAGGAGTCCAAAGCATAATTTCAAAATATGGGGGGAAATCAGAAAACTGATACAATGAAAAACTACCGGCAGAATATATTTTTATTTTCTTTCTAAGTGTAGTATATGACATATGATTTTTTATTAAAGCATCTGTTAAATAGTACTATGTAATTTGAGGGTAATCACATATGAATAGCCAAAGTTCAACCACCAGAGACAACTGAGAGACCGTGGGAAAGCTCCTGGGTGTGTGTAGGGAGGGGCGCGAGTGGATTGGCGGGGGCTGGCTGACCTAGAACGGAGACGCTAAACACTGGTCGACCCTTCAGGAAGGATTTAGATTTAAGCTACAGCTTTAAGGCAGGATATGAAATAGTTGACTTTTCCAAGCTCCTCAGCTTCCATCACTGCTCTCCATTAACGCGGGCTTCTGCTGATGGAGAGGAATGGAGGTCCTGACCCACCCTCGCCCAGGTTTCCAGTCTCCCAGCTATTGCACACAGGAGCAGCAGGTGGGGAAACGCCAGGATCTCCAAGCACCCTGCCAAGTCTGTGGCACCCAGTAGGACCTCAGCTGCTCAGGTCCTTTCTGCTCTAACGGATACCTAAGAGGTGTCACGTTTCCCTCTAATTTTCCAACTCTTTGTGTGAAGCGCGCATTGCCAGTCCCTCCCCTAGGACCCTAGTCCTAGAGTTTTTAAAGTAGAGCCGGAAAGCCTGAGGATCCTTTCAGCAGCACAGAGCAGACACCGCGCTCCCCAGGAGGGGCTGGATGAGGAGGGACTGGCTGGGGCTGAGCACGTCCTCCAACAAGCGCTGACCGGTGTGAACAAAACAGTCAGTAACTCGGGGGCCACAGAGATCGGGAGATGCGCGCGGTCGCGGGGACCCAGGCCTTGGAGGGGGCGCCGTATCGGTTCCGGGGCCTCGAGGGAGGTTGGTTCGCGTTTCCACGAGGCCCCAGGGGGCACCTCTTCCTTCCAACGCTGTCGATTGCCCAGCAGGGGAACTTGCCCTTCTCAATCTTTCTCATTTGAATACATGAAAATGCGAGTTGATTTTGGCAAGGCCATGCTCTCTCACGGCCAGAGGGACGGTTTTGTCGCCCGCGGGCGAGGCCAGGTGGGGAGCAGCTCCGGTTCCGACATCCGGCTGCGGGTGAGCTAGGTCCGCGCCCCCAGCAGCTCAGAAACCCGGCGGCGCTCAGGCAGCAGTAGGGGAAAAGACAAACCCAGTAGCTGTTTTTGTTTGCTTCAATAAAATAAGGGAAAGCCCTGGTTATGTTTATGCGTTGCTTTTACACACAAAGACACACAGACACAAGCACATGCACACACAGCCAGGGTTGAGGCCGGTTACAGGATAGGACTCTGTACAGAACTGCCTGCAAAGGCCCGTCAAGTGGTCCCAGGGCCCCTACCTACTACAGAGTTGTGAATTAATCCCTTAAAGATTTAATGATGGAACGAAGGGAGAGAGGAAGGAAGGTATAAGGAAGAAAAATAAAAAGAAGGCAACGAAGGAAAGGAGTTCTAACCCTGGCCCCGCCCATGCTTCTCTCTCGCGGGGGACCGCCGTCTCGCAGCTCCCTGGTCCCTTCCCCAGCTCGGCGCACACATCCAACTGCGAAGGCCAGGCACACGCAGGTGTGACCCCTTGTGTCCAGCGTCCCAGGCCTTCCTCACTTCTAAGCTAAGCCGGGTCCCAGTTGGGGTCGGCTTTGAACCGCGTTCACGACCACAGGTCTTAGTTTCATTGGATCCGATTCTCCCCTGCAGAAGGAGGACTTAAGCTTCTTATCTGGGTGAGGGGTGGGGGTCCGCGGGGGAACTCGGACCACTCCACACCAAGCATGGCTGGGCTGCTGCGGCCGCCACCTGACAACAACCCCGTCCAGGGAAGGGTAGGCAAGGAAAGGGGACAGGCGAAGGACAGCCACAGAGGGAAGCCCTGGATAGACTCGAGTGGGCACCGCAGAGCCCCACCGGCCCAGGCCCTGCTCTCTGCCCACCCTGCGGTCCTGCTAAATGGGAAGGACCCCGTCGCCGCGAGAGGTCGCCGGCTGGGCCCGAGGCGCGAGCCCGCGGCCTTTCCTTCCACCTTTCGCCGTCGTCGCCCTCTGGTTCTCCCTGTCTGGAGAATATCTAAGGAAGGGGCTCCCAGCCAGAGCTTGCTGGGAAGTGTAAGCTGAAGCAGCCCAGCGTGGTCGAAAGACCCAGTGCAGCCCAGGTACTGCGGGACTGCCTCGGGAGCTGGCCCCATGGGTGTAGCAGGCGCAGCTTCCGGGAAGGGCGGAGCCGCTTCCTCCGCTGGCGGCCACCTGGAGTACCCGCGCACCCTACAGTCCTCACTGCCGCGGCTCCCTCCACTTGAGGAGCCCGCCCTCCCCGCGACCTGGACCGCCCCGGGCTGTCGCAGACCTGTCCTTACACAGGCAAGCTTAACCCGGAACACCCCAGGAGCCGCCACGTGCCTGCCCTCGTGGGTACCCTGCCCCAAGTCCACCCGTCCTCCCCAGAGCTGAAGACAGGCCTGGTTTCCTCCAACGAGCAGCGCAATCCTTGCAAAGCACAGTTTGCAATAGCGTAGGTGCCTATTTGGG